TGTCCCCCAATCGGCCTTCTCGGTGTTTGCCCAATCCATCTCCACTTCCTTCCACATATTTCTTGAGTGAAAGGTTTTTGGTTGGTTCGTTCCCAGAGTCCCTTGCTGCTTATTCTCATTATTCTGGCTATTCGATTTTCAGTATCGAGTGTGGGCAGTTGTTGATTAATGTCTATAGTTTGTTGGAAGTGCTTTTCGTGACGCGCTAAGTTTCTGAACCACCAAATAGAAGCACTGACTTCACTAACGTTGCTGTCGAAAATTCGGATCTCGTTCTTTATGCTGAGTGCAGTAGATCTCCACACTGATTTCAGATAGGTGAAAGCTTGTCCTGCTTTTCCGATCCTGGTTTTGACATCCTCGTCTGTGCCACCGCAACCTGTAATCCAAACGATGCTACCTTGCCTAGGTATGTGGAAGAGACTACTTCTTTTAGGTCTCTCCAGTTAATGGTGGTTGGTGCCTTTTGTTGTTGATGCCACTGTTTATTGGGTGTCTTCATCACCTCCGTCTTCTCTACATTCACTTGGAGTCCGTTATCGCTGCCTCACCTCTTCTGTTAGCTTGTTAGTTTTCGCCTGTAGATCTTCGAGTTTTTGCGACAAGACATTAAACACAAATCCTCGGTGAAATCCAAATCTTTTAAGCCCGTCACATCGGCCCAACCAGCGTATCCCCCTCTTCTCGCTGCTCACAGGTGTCTGCTGTATGGTCCAGTCCACCACAATCAGGAAGATCATCGATAATAGCAGGAGGTAGCCTTGTTTTACTCCTGTCTCCACTTCATTTCGAAGGCATCACTGAGCTTCCCATTGTGAACTACTTGGCATGTGGCGTCTTCATTTAGTTGTTGAATGAGGTTGATAAAAGTATGCGGCACTCCGTAGTGTTGAGGCAGTTGCCTGCCAAATTACTTCTTGGTTGACGCTGTCAATAAAGTTGAGGTAGAGAGTTGACTTTTTCTTGGCTTTTTCCCTGGGGACACCTTTTTTGTCTTTTTTATTTCTGATAGATTTATTCGACTTTTTCACATAAAAAAGGATTTGTTGAGATAGTTATATAATTTGTGAAGTAAAACTTTATCTTCAAATCTATCAGTAATAAGTTTTTATTATAATTCAGGCTTTTTTAAAACTTTACAAGCAAAACTTTGGAATTTGCAGTTTACTTAGTGATGGTTAGTATTAGAATCCAGGACAAGCATTTCGTGCGGTCTGATACTCATCAGCTGGATACGCGTCCACGCTAGTCAGTGATAATTTCTTCACTGACAACAAAACCCAGCACACAAACGCCAGTGCCTATCCACTAGACCACTGAGACATGGCAGCCACATCCTTTGCAAGAAATATTACAGTGGTTCTAAAACCCCTGAATTTGATGATTCTCTTCACAGATCCCGAATGGATTCACAGTAACCAACGAACAAAACAATGTCAATTTACTAAGATGCAGAGAAACAGTTGCTTTCCAAAGAATTAATTCAAAGCGATTCTTTACCTTCGGTTTTGTTAGCGGCCTGTTACTTTTTGTCATTCAGCAAAACTCCTTCCGAAAATTTTATTTCTACTTTTTTTTCCAGCGTCGTTTGGCTCAGGCGACCCGATTTTTTCCAAAGCCATTTTGGAATATGCTCTATGACCCTTATTGCGAAATGCCGACCAATCCCTTGATATATATGTGACCACGCATACATTCAATTTGGTAAGTACAGTGGAATGTGACTTCATCTCTCGCCTGTTTCAAAGGCTTCCATGAGTATACAGACTTTGAATTTTCAATTATCCGAACAAAAGCTGCATAATATGTTTGATTCATGGCAGTGAAAATTTTCTATCTGAATATCAAGTTATTCAGATTCACCGAATATGCACAGGTGATGCTCTGGAAGAAGAGAGAAGATTATTAACCCGGACAATGATTGAGAACCACTACCCAACGAAGTTTACAAGTTCGTATAAAGTAGACAGAACTTTGAAAAATGCTATCAACTTTGTCCATGAGAAAGATTTTTTCATCAAGCTACCATATATTGGTGATGTAAATAGCTTGACAGACAGAGACTAAATGCTGTCATCAATAAAACATATTATATAAATAAGGTTCAAATAATTGAAAATTCGAAAGATATATACACATCGAAACCCTCGGAACAGGTGAAAGATAGTCATATCCTATTGCATTTTTCAATTTAAATGTACGTGTCGTTACACATACATGGGAAGAACTCGTCGGTAATTAAAAATGGACACAGAGCATGTTCTAAAGTGGAGTTGTCTAACTCATTAAAATATCTCAGCTTCCTAATAGCTAAACATTTCACTGAAATGAGGGATAAAATGAATGTATAAACTTTGACTTAGGAAAATCCGTCAGACCTGTTGTCACAGTGTTTTCAAGTTTGTTTTGAAACTGACTTCACAATCGATTCCCATTACATTTCGACAATTTTTCTATCTTATTGAGACTAAATTAACCCAAACCCATGTAGAACTCCTTTTTTTCCCACTTTTTCTTCTTCCATAGTTAGCAAAATGACAATCAGACCAACACCAAATGTATATAATAGAAATGATTCTGCACCTGTCTTGGATATTTCGGAAATTCTACCACTCTTGTCATAAATAAAGAGACAGGATTAGAGCTATATGAGCTATGCCTCAATGAAGTGTCATCTTCTTGATAAGTAAAGTATATAGATTGCATATCTGCCTACATATATTTGATTCAATAGTCTGTAAGCAGTTGAAAGGGGGAAACGAAAGGCAATAAATGCATCCTATTCTGCAAGATTTATTGTTCTCGCTTTTCTAACACTTTTGAAGGAAATCAGCTGTAGGAAAGTACTTAAGTACCTACCAAGTCAATGTGACTAAGAAATATACTAGACTAAACCATCTTGTCATTTGGATAGACGATATGATGTATTTACTCACTACATTTCAAACATATCCATACATTATGAAAATACTGTGCAGGCAATCTCAATATTACAGAGAAAATAAAACCTGTGATAGAAAATAAACCTCATCATTACGCAGATGATTACATCACATCTCCCTGAGTCTACTTGCTCACATGTGGGTAAGGTGACGTATAAAATTGAGAAGAGTAATCGAAATATGAAATCAACAGTGATGGGGCATATCCTTCAATGTTTAAGAAGAGAATTGTATTCAAATAATTTGATAAATACAGGCGGTAGACAGATGTTCACAGTCTTCATTGTGTTATTCTATGAGGAAGATATATCAGAAACATTAGGAAAGATCTTCAACAAAGCTGGAATCACGGTGGCATTTAAAACTCAAAACTCACTCAGAGATAAGCTTCATCCACTACCTCAAGAGTACGATAGAAGTAATTAGGCAAAATAATTCAATATTTCAAATTCCATTCAACAAATGCTAGATGAAGAACATGCATCATACTAGGCGTCTCGGGTCAGTCAAATTATCGGAACATAGGAACTTAGCCTGATATAGAATGACAGACCCAAACAAGATCAATGGTTGAGGCAACACACAACCTCATTATGGGGTAGGATAAAGCTACTGTATTTAATCTTTGTTCATCGAATCAACACGCAATACATGTAATGGTAATGGCGCAACGCCTATACGAGATATGGAACACTTTACTACCAATAAAAACAAATCATATGAGGTGACATAACTATTAAAATCAGATACTGAAATGGAGTGTGGTTACATTGAAATGATTATGAGCAATGATAATTTAAGCTCGAAATGTCGTGAACTAGAAAATAATATATCATTGTATGCTGTAAATTGAATAAACGAGTCTAGTATGCGATTACACTCTGTCAGAGTGCCCAGGTTGTATACTTATATTAACAAACAGATGTCATCGTCTGTAGGTAAAGACATTATAGAAACAGGTCACTGGACTGACCCCAAAACTGCCTTTAGACTACTATATAGAAGCTATTAGAACCACACGCTTGTGTTTATTCAAACCGTAGGAATAAAAAAGTTCAATCCGCCTTTGTATATCCAAGAGCAATTTGTTCTTACCTTATACCTTCTTTGGTGATCTTTATCTCATTTTTACACTAAGGTTAGCTTCGAAATGTACTATTCAGCTACTCGGACTCATGTCTATACCAGGTACGGTAGCCAGTAACTACACGTTTCATGGCGTGCGTGCTACCACTGGTCCACTCTTTCATATAAAATACCTTGAAAAGTAAATGCATGATTACATTGTTCGAAACTTTATTCCACCAATACCTCACCTTTCTCAGATAACCTTTATCTTCTTATCACATAAAAGGGACTAATTGTTGATGTACCTGCCCTCCAGTGAATAATGCTGTTCCCAACGACGGTATAATACAAGCAATTATACTGAAACTACACCCGTCTAACAGGAAGTGGCTATTGTTACTCGGTGGTGCAGTGGATAATGCTTTCACTTTCGAAGCGATCGCTCCCGAGTCCGAATCCCCTTTGGAACAAAATCACTCAATGAGAAGCAGGTATATCCAGCAGACGAGTCCCAAATAGAAAGAAATGCGCATCCTGGATTCCACTGCTAGCCACTGTCCATCAATACTACAAAAGTTCCTTTTACCTCACAATCACATAATTAAAACACAGGCAATATCGAGGCATCCCCACAGCAGCCCATATGCCAATAGAGACTGATCAATCCGGTCCAATCAACAATTATACTAAAGGGATGAATTGTTTTAAAAAAACCTTTTCACTATTTTTTCGGTAAATTTACTGATTTACATTATGAAGCAAAACTCTTTATTAGAAAATTTATTGTTTAAGAATTTTTCGATGTGAAGAAACTTCTAGAAAAAGATATTTTAGCTAAGAAGATGATAATAACCTTGACAATTGTCCAAGAAAATACTATCAAACGAAAATAGTCGAGGTAAGTAATGTTCATCATTTGTATTAAAATGTGATAGGCTAATATTCCTCAAACTTTGTGATTGGTTTTCTGAAAGTAATCCAGTAGCTTCATTTTACAATATTTCCATCGTTTAGAATATTATGATAATCGTGTTTCCAATGATCTTCAAATTAATGTCACATGGAATGTAATCATAAACTGTAAGTATTAACTTATGAATCCCTATTTGGATTATTCATTTGAAATTTTTAATGAATGAGATATTTTTCCACGTAGAACATATATCTTTAATATCGATGAAATTATAAGGGATATATGAGGTTTAACAGATTGCTATTGTCGATACGATGTGATGAATGAAGCTGAAAGGAAACTCTGGGGTTTGAACCAGTAGCATTAAGACAATCGATCTAATGTTATCTCTTATCTCAGATAACTTCAGTGATAATCAATATGATATTTCTGTACTCCAGTTTAGCTCGATTTGGATTCGATCATGATCACATATTTAGTAAGCAGTTTTCGCAGGATATAATGCGATATTTAGCTGCTGTCTTGAAAAATTACTATGAACCAATTATCTTTGAATCATTTCGTGAAAGTAATTACTAATGGATACTTAAGAACAAGTAATAAATTATAATCCCTTCGACATTTGAATAGCATGGTAAGGTCAATTTTTGTAGTGACGTGCTATGCTAGGGAGAATTGGATTTGGTTGAAAATGGGTTCAGGGTGACCAGACCAAGATACGACACTAGTCAATGAAATCTCTAACTGTTAGAATGAGCCATAGGGCGAGGTGTAGATTATTTAGTTGGTGTCCTCGGGATGAAGGAAATCAGTGGTTGAAAACTCTTGGTGAAATAGTTATAAATCGGTTAAAGTGGAGTGTCTTCTGAAGCCTAAATATTCGCACTAAACTTTATCTTCAGAATTTTTGTTGTTTCACACAACTTTTTCTACTTTGATATCATCTTTTTTCTATCCACTTGTTCGTTTAAATCACTGTGAAGTGTGGCCATTTGGGATGACGCGCCTGCGTACGAGGTTTTACGTTGTTACAGTTTCTCAGGTTAGTTCAACATTGACCGTCATAAGACCAGCTTCAAAATTTTACGAGTATGCATGGAACTGGTGTATACTACATGTTGTGTACTTCTACTAATGAAGATGGCCGCCAAAATGCCCAGTAATCTACTCTTATAAACTAATCAGAAACGGCATGGAGAGCTCTACCTGTGTAATCGCCTCCTTAAGCCAACCATGCCTCGCATTCATTACTCTACTTAATACCGTCCCTTCACTTAACACGATAAAATGGCAAAACTTAGACATTTCAAACTATTGGCTAGATTAAGGATTCAATCAGCATCTGTTCCGAAAGACTTTTTTTCTGACTACGAGGAGTGATGACAGTTTCACTTCTTTGAGGAATCAGTAATTGTTGATGGTTAAGTCATCAAGGCATTCTCCTCAGCTTCTTACTGCTGTCTTGTAGACTATGGACATTGAATTCCGAATTATATCAGTCTTCATACATTTCCTAGGTACACTATTAAAAGGCTGTAAGCAATTGATGAGAAGGCTGAATACGTTCTCATCGATACATTAAAATTCGCATGAGGAATTGAATGTATGAAGTATTTGACCTTCAGTTAAGTAACGGGATATGTTCAGCAAGAACCACATAAATCTCTGAGCTAAATGTCGCTTAGTAAAATGACTATTTCTCATCTGTGACATTCATAAAGGTGTGCAGGTGTATACATTTGACTCCGTTCATTTTGACTTCGATAAGTAAACTATACTCTTTAGATAATGTGATCAGTCTTCAGCCTTAATCGTTTTATTAATTTTTCACCGATTAACGTTTCGTTATACGCACTAATATAACAGGAGCCTACTTGAACTTTCAGCTACCGAAACTTTTCCACTAAATATAATCTACTAAATAGGTTCTGTTTAGTTTGTTTAAAGCATTAGATTGTCTTCAAATCATAATATGAACTCTTACATATCTTAAGAATGTTTTTAACTTGCCATTTTGTAGTTTAGGAATGAAATATCACGGTAGATGACAATGGACCTTTAAACGCACAACCATAAACCACATGACAACTATTCCTCAAATAGTTAACTCGGATTGCTGACGTTTGTACTGGTTGAATGAAATCTCACTAGTAAATTTAAGCGGACTTTTCTGTTCTTTTGTTCCTTGAAACTAAATGGCGGCTCAGCAACAGTTGGTTGTTTCATACTTTTGTCTTTAATACTATCATTATTAGTTTCATTGAGACACTACAATTATGTTTTTTGAAAATATATTACAGTAAAATGTTTGAGAATACTATATTGTATCAAGCATATATTCTAGGATAAAGTGACCATTATCAATACAGTAATAATAGTCCAGACAATACATTTCAATTTGCTTGGTCGTGGCTTGTAGAAGAACCCAGGATGCGCGTTTCGTCTTTTTTGGGACTCGTCGGGTGGATATACCTGCACCCCACTGATGTTGTTCCCAATGAGAGCCGAACCTCGTACCCATCGCTTCAAATGCCGAGGCGTTATCCACTATGCCAAGGAGGAATGATAGCCACCCCATGTACAATGGATAGTAGTTATTACTATTCGTTGACATACTTGTAATTCTGCATTGTTTTATTGGACTGAATTGTTCAATTTCTATTGGCATATGGGCTCCTATGCGGATACCCTGATATTGTCTGAATGCTAATTATGATAATTTCCTTGGTTGTGGCTAGTAGAAGAATCCAGGGCCTGCGTTTCGTCATATTTGCTATTGGTCAGCTGGAGGTCAAACTAGAGGTCGAACAATTCGATCCAATGAAGCAACAGAGAACTACAAGTATAAGAATAAATAATAATAACTTCATATTTTGTCTAGCTAGATTGTAATTTCATAAAATCACTTAATGAATGCAGTACAAGTTGATGGTGAAACGTAAGTAGGAATAATTGCACTTATTTGAAGTGTGAGATCGCCATTTTATAGGTTATTTCCATGCAGTATTAGATTAGAGTCACGATGTAACACATTCCACAAACTCTATGTTGACATAAAACAAAACAAACTGTTTTGAAGAAAATATACCTTCAAGAAGAAACAAATGATATGAATGATCAATGCTAAAATACTGGGTAAATTCATACAGGCATATGAAAACATGTGTAACCAATTTCTGATAAGATCTGTCATATTTTCATATGTCTTCAAGAGTAGTTGCTACAAGATTCTAATGATTCGGAAGTGCAAAGCATCAAGAAGACTAGTTTTGTATAACAAGTACTTAAACTTGGAAACCTGGATCCAGGATTCTTGAATCCTCAGTATTCATAAATAAACAGAGCGATTCACGCTGTATTTTCATACAGACGTTTTGATTTCAAGTCAGTTTTCATCACGGACTGAGATCAATTGGAGAGTCATTGGAAACATGGGAAGCGCTGGACAGTTATTTTGTCTTAAACAATGTGGTTTCCATAACCGCAGGATGTCTCCAGGAAACCTCAAGGTCTTGGACTCGATCTCTTGCAAAGTCATGGCTACACACTGCTGAGGTGATGCATACTAGGAAGAAATAGCTGCCTAGTGCTTTCAGCTTTTTAATGATTCTCCAATTTACATCAGTCCACGATGAATACCTACTGTGTGTAAACAAAGCAGTTTCAGTTTCTTGTAGCTTCTTTCAGTAGTCATATCAGTAGGTAACATATATCTGATTGAATCTTACATAATCGGTATTAATGAGGAAAGTAGTGAGATTAACTAGTAATTTGCTTGCTTGAGGCTAGCAGAGGAATCCATTAATGACCTTTCAGCTGGATGTACCTATACCCCAGTGCGGAGTGTTGTTCCCACTAAGACTCGAACCTAGTGCCCACCTCTCTAAATGTCCAAGTGTTATTCACTAGGCCACTGAGGAAAGATAGCCACTCCTCGTACAGTGAGTATTAATTATAACTATTTCTTGATATTTCAGTAGTTTTGAGTTGTTTTATTTGATCGAACTGTTCGACCTCTAGTTTGACGTCGATGTGATCAGTCTCAAATGGGAGGAAACGCGCGTCCTTGATTCTTCTGCTAGCCACAGCCAACCAAATTATCATAATTAACATTCAGGCAATATCGAGGCATCCGCATAGAATTTCATATACCAAAAGAGGTTAAAAATTTCAATTCAGTATAACGACGGAGATTACACGTATATCAACAAAGAGAGTAAATAGTTTTCATCACATTTAATACCATATTTTATCTGAATGATTGGATGTTTAATTTTACTGAGTAATATCCGTTTGAAAAATTGTTCATTACTGTCAATAAACTTCGTCACATTTTCTAGTGTGTTAAGCATGTAAAATACAACGTATTGCCTATCTGCACTTGCGTAACACATGCATCGTCATCATCATCATTATCAACATAGGACCAGGCATTACTGCGTAACGGTCCTACTTGCCACACCTCATATCAGCACATCAAGTAAAACGGTAGTGAGTTGAAGGATGAAGATAAGTGAATGCAGTCAAAAGAAATATAAAGTATGAGAAAAAAGGAAAGAGGTGTGACAAAATGGTGAGATTCGGTGTAGCGTTGTTAAGATGAGGATAATGTATGTATACATCTGCACCACTGACATCAGTCCTAAGCCATGTGATCACCTAGGGTCTCCAACCACTGATTCCTCTTGTCCTGCGAACCCCAACCACCTAGTCTGCATCCTCCCACATGGCTTAAACCAACAGTCAGAGACTTCATACATTGGTGCCATGTTTTAGCCTGGCTACCTCGGGCCTTTTTCCAGCCTGGACCCACCTCAGCCAACATTGTGTGACGATGCAATCGGTGACTAGGCATACGTAGTACGTGTCCCAACCATCTCAGTCGATGAAGGTTCATAACCTTGTCAACTGACTCAACTGGCTCACCTCTTCTCCCCAAAACTCTACACCTGACTTCTGTGTTACTCACGTGGTGCGCTGACATCACGGAATACGGCCTATACTACGAAAGCAGGCAACGGTGGTCAAACACCTGAAGCCTTTTTATATCTTCCACTTTCAATGGCCATGTTTCACAGTCATACAGTAGAACAGACCAGACTGCTGTGCAGTACACGCCACCCTTAATAGACAAACGAATATCACGGCGGTGGCGCAAATTGGCAGA